AAAAAAACACTTTATATTCATAAAATCTTAGCATGCTTAAAGATTGAGTGTTGCGATTATTCCTATTTCCCATCTGCCAAACTCATGACGGATGTAGCTCTTCTTGCTGTCATCATTCATTAGCTCCCGTACACCGGCTGTTAGCTTGCATTTGAAACTACATATCAGCATTTTTAGAAATCAAAAATCAGTACTAATTTATAGGTAAAACTTGCTATGCTGTTGTAACATCCATTTACATGTCTCTGCAAATTACGAACACTAGATATGTGAACTTAATAAAATTAATTTTAGTTCAAATTTTATCATTACCAGCTGCACCGTTCGAGTGCTCTCGCATATATCATTCCATCGCAATCCCTAAAGTACTGTTTCTAAAGCAAACCATCTACAGGTCTTTTAAACCACTCTACTTTTATTAATTTTAAGAACTAAGCGTAAGTCCAATTGCTTTTTGTTCCTCGCAGCTCTAGAAGCCCCTACTTTTATGAAACGTTTGAACAGGAGAGAAAAACAGAAGAAACGTAGTTTATTCTTCTGTTTCTTCTTCCTAACCTTCCTCCATATGTTTTTGAACCGCAACACTTTTTTTTATATGTCCTCAAGTTTCTGCTCAACTCAGCTCTACACTTTCAAGTTATGAACTTTCCGTGCTGACGGAAGCGTAAATCCGGTATTCAGGGGGTCTCATCTAAATCTATGTAGCTGGCTGCGCGATTTCGCGCGCGGCAAGACTTCCGCGCCGCCATGGCCGCCACTAAAGAATAACTTAGTTCTCCTTGTGGGAGGATGGTTTTTTTAGAGCAAGGAATGACGAAGAAAGACTGAGAGTAGTATTTAAGTATTTTTATCTATCAACTGTTCGCTCTTCTTACTGAATTCATTCATTCTCACATTTTTACTAGAACTAATTATCGCACAAGTGAGTCCTTTAGAATGTAGTTCATTTGTGCATATGTTCCCACGTCTAAGCTCTTCTTCCTGGTATTATACGTTTGGAGGCGGCCGAGTGGTGCTATCTTCCGGAAGATGCGCGGAACGTTTGCGAGGCAGTTCTTCTTCTCCACCTTTCCCTCCTGGGCTTTAAGCAAAGAGTTCTTCCCTGAACATGCTTAGCCAAAAAGCGCCGCACTACTTAGGCAAAATGCGGTGCTTCTTTACAAGTGTTTTCCGGATTTTCGCCTTTCGCCATGCATCCGTACTTTTCTTTGCCGTTGTCATATCTTTTTGTTATAATAAAGCAAAAAGCCATTCTCAGAAGCTCTTGGGCTTTCTGCAAACAAAAAAGAGAGCTTTCCACCCACTCCTAACTGAATAATGGACAATGTGTTCCTGAGTTTGAAATTGGTTGAAGTTTTAGAACAATGCTTCGATGTAGATTCAGATGAGGGTGAAACTTAGATTAAGAAACTAAAGTTAATTCCATAAGCTACTTGTTTTCTTAAAAATACTACTTATCAAGTTGGTAAAGCATTTTCTTCTTTCTCGTCGTCAATGCTTTGGAACGGATTTTGCCACACATTGAAGTCATTAACACTAAGTCCTCTGATCCACTAAATTCACTATGGTGAAAGATGTTTCCAAAGCGATTTTTCCATATAGATTGCGTAAGAACCTAGAAGCACAAAATAAGTGGGGTGTTTGGCTTGCAAATATATTTTTAAGTTCAGAAAAAAAAAAGATGTTAGACATATGGCGTTAGACATATGGCGTAAACTTACGGCTTTTTTGATCTTTTATTGTATCGCAGTTAAAGAAAGCAAGTTCTAGAGGAGAAGAGAACCTAAAGCTATGAAGCAATAGACACTCAATCATTTTATAAGCTCCGATGTTACTTTTACAGATAAAGCAAATAATTTAGAGCAAATAAAACTAAATTAACCCTTAACGACCGCGCGTTCTTATGTCCAACGCAGGGGATCAATGCGCTTTCTCTTGATTTTCGTTTGCTCGTACTAGTTATGTTTGAAGGTAAATCACCCAATCTATAGAAGTTCAGAATGTGGCGACACAGGCGATCAGGAAAGTGTGCCCATGAGTTGGTCCCACGCATCCTAAAATTGACTTATCTGTGGACGATCGTCAATGGTAAAAAGACTTCGTTCGGTGCCACTTCGGGGTCATTTTTTTCGTCTTTATTGTAGACTTAGCTATTTTTTTTCTCTCTTTCGGCGTGGCCTATGTACTTGACAATGTTTCATACCAAAACCTTAGTCGAGAAAATTTTGTGGCTTTGGCGCTTTTTCCCTCCGTCAGGTATAGGGAAGGCATGTAGGAGGAAATAAAAGGCTTGCCGTTCATCATCGAATGGTTAATAGAGACGTAAGCGCTCCTCGGAAGATGCTGCAGCTACGGCATAGCAAGCATGACGTGGAGGCGTGCGAATGCAACTGTAAATAGGTGATCAAAGAGATTTTGGCTGAAGTAAGTAAAAGTATTTTTTCATTAGAGTTTAAGGAACTTGAATGATGAAATAATGTAAATTGGATGTAAACATTTTTATAGCAATACACACGAAGCTAAGTTCCAATGAAATGAGATAAACAAAAAGATGTTCCATAGAGAGTCATAGTTTGTCCTACAGTAATCCTGATTTTAGGGCTACAAGTTTGATTTACGATGTAGGTGAGTAACTGGCTTAGTATAAGAAGGATTTCGCTCGAAATCGGCTATAATATGATTCAGTGCCAAGTTAAGGGGCACAGGGATTTAGTTAAAGTGTACTTAGATACTTAGTTGGCCCTTCACTCGTCGTGCAGGCCCCAACATTGTTTCCATCCGTTTCTGTCTCTCGCTAGCATCATCCATGATGTTGGAATTGAACTACGACGGCAAGTTCGCGAGGTCCAGATCCATTACTCTTTACCAGTTGAGAATTCAACTGGTCCATCCATGTAACGAACATGTCAGCCCACCTGGTCGGTGGTCTGAGGATGTTTTGCTTCGCGAGGAATCCATTCCAGTGTTCCTAGTGCTCATCAGTCGTCACTTCTCTTCATTGTATGACCAGCCCATCGACGCTTTGTCTAAGAGACGTATTCCGTTGGCTCAAGAAGACGATACATTGATCTCATATATGAACTGCGAAGTACGAGATGTTGAGTGCGTCGGTTGTACTTCAGAAGACGTCGTTCCAGCGCTCTGTAGGTTGTTCGGAGCGCCTTTGACGTAGCCACAGTGTCAGGCCACGTGTACGCTGCGTAGCAGAGCGCAGGAAGAACAGTTGAATCGAACAGGTGGGCTCGGAGCTCTGGGTCCGCCTGTTGGTCTGTGGCCCCTTAGTGGCCCGAAGGCGGCTCAAGTTGCTTTTCGCCTCCTGTTTAGTTCTTCTTTCAGATCATTCTCCACGTTCATCGAAGGTCCGACAAATACGTAAGAAGACGTTTCCGCGATTGGAAAGCCTTCTATCTTCATTTCCTGATTCTCGCAAAAATTATTTTAAAAAACTATAAAAAAACTAAACTCAAGAGGAATCTCCCATCAACTCGTATACCTCTCTCTCTTTGCAATTCAGTGATTATATCACCCATCGCAAAGCCGGTACACAGCTTTGGCGACACGGTCTCGCCTTGTCGAATCCTCTTCGAAATTATTATGTTAGGGGATGGAAAGCTGTACCGTTTTGGAGCAGTTTTTGTAGCTGTCGGCTAATGTCCTCACGTAAGACAGGTCCACCCCTTAGTCGACGAGCGCTGGCAGTATAGAATGAGTATTGACGCTGTCAAACGCTTTCTCAAACTCAACGAAGATTAGGAAAAAAGGTAGGCGGTTCTCTCTGCAAACCTCGAAACTGCCTGGATATGGTCCACGCAGCTGAATCCTTTGCGAAATCCAGCTTTTTTTACGGCTTCATCCAGTGTCTTTGATATGCGAGCGAGAATAATCGTTGTAAAGAGCTTGTAAAACACGCTCAGCAGGCATATTGGACGTAGTTCCGAAATCCGATCCTCCCTATCGCCCTCTTAAGCAGGTTTGTTCGGGAGGTTCTCCACTGGTCGTGGATCCTTTCCTTTGGAAAGTAAGATGTTAGATCCGCAAGTATCTCGTGCGTGATGTCCTCCAGCTCGTAAGAGGTCGGCCGAAACCTCGTCCGGTCCCGGAACCGCGGTTGCATCCATGGTATAGATTGCGGCGCGTACTTCAGCAGGTAGATCCATGGTGGTATTTTTCCAATGAAAATAATGGGGTTTGGTACATTGGTGTAGAATCTCTTCGTAATAGATGTGCGAGTCCTGTCTTCGTTTGGTGATGTTGCAGCGGAACACGGTAGTCGAGAAGGTCTCCGCGTTACTTTTTTTGAACTTTTCCTTCCTTGTGCTGCTTCCAAAAGTTTCGGTTGCCTGTACTTTTGGAAATCTTCTTGCAAAGACGTTCTGCAACTAGTACTGGCTACCAGTCGCTCGAGATGTGATGCAGTCGGATCCAGCCTCAGTGCTCTTCTCCTCTCTAGCAGATC